TCAAGGAGGTCGAGTTAAAGGAGTTAGATCTGGAGACTCATATCAACGAAGGCGGCTCCAATCTCAGCGTCAGCCAGCGGCAGCTGATCTGCCTGGCGCGCGCGATAGTCAGAAACAACCAGATACTCGTGTTGGATGAGGCGACCGCGAATGTGGATTCGCAAACGGACGAGTTGATCCAAATAACAATAAAAAAGAAGTTTGAGAATTGTACGGTGCTGACAATCGCTCATCGGCTCAACACCGTCATGGATAGCGATCGTATCCTGGTGATGGACGCTGGCAGCGTTGTGGTGAGTCAATTTTTTTATGACCTTATCTTTTTGTGTATTTTTTAGATAGCGTGGATCATCGAATTTAAATAAGTCACGAAATCTTTCCTTCTTTTTTTGATTATGGAGAATCAAATTAAGAATTTATTGATTATCCTTGTGATATATCTTTTACTTAATTTTCTTTTAGAATATTTTCTCTTAGATTATAAAATTTATTTTTAAGCTTTATAATGTTTTAAAGTAACATAATCATGCGTGATTTTTTCGTATAAATCTTGAGAATTGTTCTCTTCATCCTTGTGCGTTTTATTAAGGTAAATTTATTTGAATAAATCATTTGTTAGCTGTTAGAGTCAACTGTGCTAATAATACCTATAAATAGTCAGCAGAAATGATTTTTATCTTTTATTTTCTGCAGTACACGTTGCGTAAATATTTTATACGTGACACCCCAGTGAGAAGTGACAGTGAAATCGATATCGAATCGACATTATCATTTCTCACTAGGACGTATCAAAGTATGACGCTCTCCAGTAGCGCTCGTAACGAGAATAGATGTTAAATGCGGACTTTTATCCTACACAGGAATTTGATCATCCCCATGTACTGCTGCAGAAGGAAACGGGGTACCTGAAGACGATGGTGCAGGAAACCGGCAAACAGATGGAGAAGATTCTAGCCGGTTTTGCCAACGATTGTTACCAGAATCGCGCTTTGCCCACAATGCTTTGATGTATCCCGACATTAACTTTTAGCAATTCTCTCCAACAGGCACCGTGATTAATAGCCGTAAATGTTCCATCGATTTTTACAAACGATTCTTAAATCTTTGGGATTTGCAAAATGAGAGGATGGTAGATAAAATTCAGTCCGAGAGAAATTAGAATTTTCAATTATTACAATTTAATCTCTTACATAGTTGTTCGCATGGAAATTTTATTTCATTTTTCTAATGAATCAGTTTTCCGGATTTTTCATTTATAGTGTTTTTGGTTCAAGCAATGAGCTTGAACCAATCTGGGTTGATGACATTGTAAAAGGTAGAGTCAATCAAATGGTAAAGTATGTGATGTCATTAATCCAACGTAGAATGGTTCAAACTTATTGCAATCGAAAATGC